ACTATGGCTCAAATGAGCCCAGTCGTATGTTCCAACTTGGTAGAAGCGGAGCCTTATTGGAAAAAGATCCCGCCAAAGAAACCCATGACTTGTCCCATGATGACTTGCCCCATAAAGGGTTTAGAGTTTGTAAGGTTGGCTGCAGGGAAGTCGCAGCACTTCCGATCCGGATAGCCACTTCGACTTCTTGCTTCTTCGGACACAAGGTAGCTTTTGATGGGCGGCTTCTCCTCCTTGTCACCTGTATCTTAGGAGGACCCCCCACCCTGTAATAGTAACTATAAGGGATACTAGTAACTATATTAGGGTCGTCTTATAGTCCTATTATACAACTATTACAGGGCGGGGGGTCCACCTAACCTGTATCGTTCACCAATGCAAGCTGCGAGGGGGGCGTTGTCAATATATGTAAGAATCTGTAAGCTCAAACAAGCCTTCGGGGGGACCCCTACCTAAATCAGATATGTGAGTGATTGAGGGTCCTCCTCAAAACTCCATAATGTTTCAGGGCGCCAAGCTACTCTCATCATCTAGGTGAGCAAGCTAGTGACTTCCTTGTGATGTGTGTCTGCTCCCAGTCCTCATCCAAATTGTTTCTCAGCAGCGAATATGGAGCCCTTGCATGCTCTAGAACAGCAAGCTGTCAGAAAGGCCCTGCCGGGACCCAACACTTTGTGGGACGGGTATCGCGCTTTCTGAGCTCAGACCTACTGTTGGAGAGATATTACATCATTACATCATCTATAGAGTCCAGACTTCTGTCACTGCAATGTTTCTAGGGACCCTGAATATGGTAAGCAAAGAAGTTCGGGGACATCACTTAACGCTGGTAGGGACATGCAGGCTTTTTCAGAAAGATGGCCCCAAGGGACCCTTGCGATATACGGGGGCTACAAGCATAGAGTTTCCTATTAGGGCTTGAATTTGCTTCAAAGCTTGGCAAGTATCCCGTCTTCCACCACGTAACGCTGACATAGCACGCAATGATAAACAAGTACTTTCCCCTAATTTCTCCTTGTAGGACCCGCAGAACACCGAGCACTTTCCCCTTACAACTTTTAGACCAACCCCCACTTACAAGAGGCCCTATAACACAAAACCCTAAACCCTAAATAGTAGTTTCCATTTCTTTTTCCATTATCCCTTGACAACCCCTATAGTATCCCTACATACTAGTAGTTTCCATGTTCTTTTCCATGATCCATGTTGTACCCCTTTTGTTCTTACGCCAGCCTTGTAGGGGAACAGTTTTGACCTGCTCCTGCGCGGCTCTGGGGTGTTAGGCGGGCAAGGCGGGTTTTGAAGGGTTTGGGGCTTAAGGGTTGCTATGAGCCGTAAGGTTTATAGACATGAGAGCTTAAGGGCTTTCAGGGTGTAGTAAGGTCTTGTTCATTTTTCTGTCTGCTAGTGAAAATTCCGGGTTTTCCCTTCTCCTGCTTCTTCTTTTTGCCCACTGAAGGCTTGGCTCTTGCTGCCAGGAGGGAGAGGAGCATTCGCGAACCAGCCTTAGCTTTCAAGTTCTCTCCCCTGAAAATGGAGAAGCACATGGAAAGTCAAATGCATAATGACATGGAACCTGGGGTCATGCATGGACTAAGTGGCTGTGGGTCACAAGCCTAGCTTGTCGCGGGCCCTGACGCCCCTTACGCCCCTTGCCACCCTGCCCCCCCACCCCTGCATATGAGCTATAGTCTAAACTCCGAGTTTCCCCCTTTATAACCCCTGTAGTGGCCCCCTATATAATCCCCTAAAAAGTCTAGACTATAGCTGCAGCTCATATCCCTTTGTCGGGGCCTGCTGTGACATAGCTTCGTCGCAGAGGGGTTTCTGACAAGCCGGGCAGTTCAAGGCCATAGTCTCCCTGAAGTAGATAAATATGGGGTATATGGGGATCCTATTACAACATACCATAATATGGAATATTCTATGTAGGGGGACTATACTGTGTCACAGGCCCATTACTTTTGATTTGCAGCCAGGCAGGGCATAAGCAGGAGCTTCGAATAGAGAATGTTCTCGTAGGCATTACTCTGAGTAATCCCCCTAGGAATGAAACCACTCAGGCCCCAAATATCCCAATATGCTACCGTCATGTAGAGTAGTCACTCTTAATTAGGGGATTGGGGTGCTACTTGTAGGGAGAGGGGATTTATGGGGGCTGCAGGAGCATGTGTGTAGTGCCGCGTAGGCGCTTGAACTACTCTATTGGGAACAGCGACATTGCTGACGTAAACATGCGGATCTCTACTCAGACAGTAGGCGGCACTACGTCATCAACACGAGATCTTTGATGTGTATTCATGTTCCTTAGATGAGCCTTTTGCAGGGCATCATGCCTAGCAACCCTTAACCCTCATCCCTAAACCCTGATGCTCATGTTTCCATGTGTGGGAAGGGCACATCCGCAGCTCCCTGGTCTTTCGGGAAGTGCTCCACTTCTGCAGATGTCTTCATGGAAACCTTGTGGCAGCCAAACTTGGGAGTTCATCACAATTGTATGTATGGTTTCGGAACTGCTCATAGCGAGGACTGTACTGTTTGGGCGTATGAGTATCCCCTTGGTAACCCCTATAACACTCCCCTATAGAATCCCCTATGCAACCCCCCGCTTAGGAGTCTAGACTATAGACTGTAGCTCATATGGGGCTCTCTTTCTTCAGAAATTTCCACATCAGGAAAGCATCCTACCCTAAACCCTAAACCCTAAACCAACCAAGGCAAGCCGCCCGGTGGTCTCCACGAAGAAGAGCCGTAAGGAATGGAGCTGCAGTCGGCCGATTCAGCACTACTTTACCTTGTTTTCTTGAACTTCTGAAGGGTTTAGGGTTTAGGGTTTAGGGGTGCTCATACCAGAGTCAGAAGCGGGACATGTGTAGCTCTATTTGCCTCTGAGGCTCTCTCAAGACATGGCAGGAGAACAACTCGACAGCAACTTACCAGGTTCATGCCGCGAACGCAAAGCCAGCGAGGGTTTTCGCCGTACCTTGCCATCAACACTTCCAACATGTTGAAGATACATGTGTCGTACATGGCTGGGCATCGCCCTGTTGCAAGTGAGCGTTGCGAATACAACCAGCTGAGGCTGCGTCTGCTCCTTAGCTGGAATTGCTCTGACTGAAAAACAATCACCAGGTACTCCAAGCAAACTTAGGACTTGTTTCCATACACTTAGTAAACTAGGATCTTTTGTGCCCTGCAAAAGTTCTGCACAGTCTGGGCGAGCTGCTGTGAAAATTCGCAGCAGCAAATTCTGAACATCTGCCAGTGTGGGGGAGTAGGTACCAGGGTTTACCTCCACCGCTACGGAGGGTGGGTTCTTCCGCTTCTTCTTTGGCCGTGCCACTTCCTTCGCCAGCTTTTGAAGGGTTTAGGGTGTAGGGTTTCCTACTGGTACTTAATTGGGTTGCTGTTGAGGAACTGAAATTCAATTACTATATTATCCCACTATAATGGAGAATCAAATAGAAAAGATGGAACATGAAATAGAAACTGAGGCAATACAGGGGTTTAAGGAAATTAGTTTAAGTTACTATAAGAGGAACCCTATTATTTACTATATATTACCAATATGGTAACTTAGTTCAAGTTCCTTAACAGCAACCCAGTTGAGGTTAGGGACGGAAAAGAACATGGCAACTGCTAAAGTCTTGGGGTTTTGGGTTTTAGGTCTTACCGGTGCAAAAGTGGAAAACAAAATGCAACATGGGGCTTACGACGGGATTCTTAGAGACTCTTACGAAACGTAGGATTACCCAGAAAATCGAGACAGCCGACAAGACAAAATCATGAATGCACACGGTGCTGCATTGCGCCAAGCTGCCCAACCTTAGCTGCAGTACGACACATTTACTTACTGGTGGTTAGTAGAGAACAAATAAGGGAAAAATCTTGCCCACAAATTTCCAACATAATACATATCTTCCGTTATTCCCTATAGCCCCAGTTAGCTTAGGCGACATAAACGCTTGGCTCAGGGAAGCCAGTTCGGTGTTGAGAACAGGCCAAGGTCTGCTTCAAGGCTCTCAGCTAGGACCTCAATTTACCTTTTGAACCCTAAAGCCTACATCCTAAACCCCAAATAGTAGTTTCGATGTTCTGTTCCATGATCCCTAGAAGCCCCCTATAAACCCTAAACCCTAGACCTTAACAGTGAGCAGAAGGTGGGGCATGGACTAGTTGGTCACGGCACCTTCATCAGCTGGCCTCTTGGCGTCTGTCTGGTCCACATCTTGCGCCATGGCAGCTTAGAGGGGGTAGAACAAGGACCCTTGGAAAGAACTATTGAACAACAGAAGCTAAACAACTTCATGGTAGCTAAACACAAATAGACTTCTTGAGAGACGCTTAAAGCTTGAACTGCTGCTTCAAACCTTTTTTTACTTGACAGTCGTCAAGTTGACGCCGCTATTTCTCGGGTGGTCGTATGCCAGTACGAAATCTCCTAGCCCACAACCCTAGACCCAAAACTCTAAACCCTAAGCCGCAATGGGTTGGCTTTGCATGACTGCTTGGTAAAGGGCAACGGCACTCGGGACACGTATTGAAGAGCATGTGTATTGGATCATGTTTCCTCAAAGCAAGCGAATAACATGAACATTTCCATTTCGTTTTCCTTTGCTCCTCTATGAAACTCTGTATACTTTAAAATCGACAAACCGAGTGAATGCAGCAGCCAGACGACTCTGACCCTCCAGTAACTTTCGTCGCTTGATTTTTTTCGAAAAGCGGGACCGGATGTATCCTGAAGCGTGACCTCCATGTTGATGGGCACGCTCTCATCGCACAAGACAGCCTCAAAGCTAGCCTTTGGCTGGGCTTGAGGGTAATTGGTTCTGCGCCCTTGCACGTTTTTCCTGAAGTTATTAGGACTGGCCTCTGGGTATTTATCTAACGTTACAAGGCTCCCTGCCAAGCTCACCGAAAGCCATTGACGTCTGAGCCAAGTAGAGAAAGTGTTGTGGCACCAGGTGCCACAGCTTCTGAAGTACCATCAAGTGCCATCAAGCGGATGACCCAGTGGACTGAGCCTCAACTCGATCGCCGTCACTGTCGTCTCCATCCTCAAGCCCCGGGAGAAGTATGTCAACACACCGTGGCACCGGCACTTGTGCCGAGTGCTGAACAGCAGCCTCTGGTGTTGCACTGGGCGAAGAAAGCGCTTGAACGCCTTCCGATGGATAGGAGCGCGTAGTAAGGCTCTCTGCGCCCTCCTCGGGGATCTCAGTCGGTGACATCGAGTCCACTTGAAAAAAGTCGACACCTGGCAACTCCGAGTCCTTGAGGTTCGGCGCTCCCAGAACTCTTAGAACATTTGCTGCGACAATCGGAGGCACAAGCCTGGAAGAAAGGCAGTAGGCTAATCGCCTGCACCAGTTATCAAGGCGCTCCGTCGTTCCCGCTGGCCTGAACCTCTGTGCAAATGGGACACGGCAGAAGTATGTCTTGTAGCTGCTGCCAAGGTGTTGCTTCACAAGATCATGAAGGCCTTGCCGTAAGTGGGCAAGCCGCCTGGAAGCTCTCCAGACCAGCCAGGGTTGACAAGCTTGGGACGCCAAGTCCTCCTTCGGAAAGCTGTAGCCACCCGTCTGACTGGCTCGCCAGAGGGTACATTCTACGTTGTAGAAGACATGTCTTCCAGAAGAGCTGTGGCTGGCAACACTTAAGCGGAGCTCGGGAAATGGCCCCTTCTGCCAATCCAGCGGCGTGTTGGCTAGGAAGCCAAACCTTGAATCTAGTTGAGGTATGATTGAAAAAATACCCTGGTGTTCCACACTGTCTTCAGGTTGATGCAAACATGTACAGTCATGTTCAACAATAGCCCAGAAACTGCTGCAGGAAGGGAAGCACTTCACGTCCAGCCAGCAACGGCGGCAGCTCACAGAACTCTTCCTCATCCACTGTACCATTGAAGGGCATCTTCACCAGGGAGATGGAAAAACTTGATAACCTGCCTGTCCTGCCTACTGTGTAGCTTCTGAGCTGTGTTGAAGAATTGCTTTGCCAGCTGCTGCCTCTGCTGACGAAATCTGACGGTGTCCTGGCCTTTTTTGAAGACATGTCTATTCAAAATTGAAACACGCTAGCCGGCAACGGATCGCGAGATCTAACGAGCGTTTTGCAACAGCCACTGGCGTGAGACAGACTGGACAGTCCAGCGAGCAGCCATCCTCCGAAAGATTGCACTTCTGCATTTGTAACCTGGGGACCCAGCAATGCAGTAGTACATGAGCAAGTAGACGCACGTCCTGCCATCGCTGTACTCGAGCAAGAGCGCCCTTCTGCTCATTTTCAGCACAAAGCTCTGTCTTGTAAATGGCACCTAAATCCAGTTTCCATTTCATGTTCCATCTGATGTTTCATTGTTGGGGTTATGACATGTTATACATCTCTAGGCCCTACATACGCTATCTATGTAGTACCTATGGGGTCATGATCGACACATTTCCCACATAACCCCGATGGAACCCCTGCCCATTGAGCTGCTCAGCCACCTACTCTCCAAATCCCTAGCTTCTGGGTTATAAAAGGGTTATAGATTGGGGTTATACAGGGATAACGGGAAAGAACGTGGCAACTACTATAGTATACTAGGATATATAATATTTCAGCTCACAGGCTGTGGCATTTGATGGCATGAGACGTCAGATCCACTTCCCAACTCATGCCAGGCTTACAGGAGGCTCCAGTCGAGGGTTTGCACCTGAACTGCTGTTGATGGATGAAATCTTGCACCACCTAGGGACCCGAAACTACTGTAATTCCTAGGACTTTGGGGAATTGAGGTGGGGCAAGATTTCCTCCATCAAGAGTATCCCCATGTGCAGCAAAGCCTTGTCAGGCACACATCGCAGGCATTTGAACAGAACCACCAACATATTCCAGCACCCCAGGGACAAGAATGTTCTGGATTCTTATAGGGGGACCCCAATATAGACCCCAAATATTAGAATCCTCATTTTTGGGACCCCTGGAATGGTACCCTTAATTTGGGACCCCCCCCACAAGTCTGTTATCGGCTTCCAGAGATGGTAGTTGATGAGCATTCCTGTTCCCAAGATGGCCATTCTGGAAGAACATGTTCCACATCGATTTTGCTGTACCTGTAGGATCCCAACGTAATTTCCCCAACCCAGCCTTGGATCAACCCGAATGGATCCCAACCCTAAATCCTAGACCCTAACCCCTAAACTCCTGAACCTTAGACCCTGCAAGAACCCCTCAAATCCTGAATCCTAAACTAAACCCTAAAACCTTAACCCTAAGCTCTTCCCGGCTCATGCCCAGAGCCGTCTGGGCTTCCGGCGACTGTGCGACCCAGGAAGAAAGCAAAGCGATTGAGACCATGACTTGCCTCACGCCAGTACCTGGCCGGTTCAGATGCCGTGGGATTTTAGGGGTTTAGGATTTTAGGATTAATACTACTACTATTCTATTAACATTGCTATTACTATTACTATAGGTTTTTAGGGTTTGGGGGTTTGAGTTGAAGGGCGGGTGCAGGATTGAGGTTATAGCTTAGCCAAGGGGTTCCCATTTCAAACTTTCGGAGAGATCAACTTTTCATTGCTGGACATTCGCCTTAAATACATATGGGTGTTTGTCAAAATTATGGTCCTTTTCTGGATCCCTATTATAATACGGCACCTCATATTTAGGGGAACCAAAAAGGAACCATAATTTTGACAACCACCCATGTTGACGTATAAGCTGAGAGGAAAGCAATTGGTGGTGCCATGCCATACGGAGTATCGTAGACTGACCCGAAAACACGCGTACGATGCTTCCCCAGTCGGCAGGTGAATCTTATACAGCGCTTGCTCCAGGAACTCGCAGCCCGCAGCCTTCGGCACTACCCCCTGAACCCTAAACCCTAAACCCTTAACCCCTAAACCCCTGAACTAAACCCTAAACCCTAAACCCCTGAACTAAACCCTAAACCCTAAACCCCTGAACCCTAAACCCTAAGCAATGTTGCAGCCCAGCTACATCTCCTGGTCCAGGCCTGAGGAGCCAGCATGTGAATCCACATCAGGTGGGGATTTCCCAAAATTAGGGGTACCTACTATAATGGAGAATCAAATGGAAAAGAACATGGACAATGAAATGGAAACTGTGATTATATAGGGGATTATAGGGATTAGGGT